TATGATATTTTCCTTTGATAAATCAACATCTCTTGAGGGGGGGCCAGAAAAAAACCCCTGAGATGATCAGGGGGGGCTTCAAAAAAATGAAAGGAAAAAATAAGGAAATCATCATAGCCCACCCTCTAGATAAATTATGAATGCTCCCTAAGTGAAATTAATGAAGTTACAAACTCAGTAAAATTAATAGTCCAGTCAATCTAGGCATGTTAGAGACTCAACATCAAACTAATTGCAACAGAATTGTTTTCAACGCCATTTCAGTGAGGGTGGACTATCTACGCAACATACTAAAAATCCGCCAAATTCCGTTCGATGGAGCATGTCAAAATTTTGAGCTTTTAATTGCCTTTGCCTAGTCCCCGTTCGGCGTTTTCCCAGTCCCTTTCGGTCAATTCTCGGTGACGTATCCGAGGCGAACTGGCGGGGAACATTTTCGCATGGACCACGTGACCCGAAACGCTTTGGCCGCGAGGAAAAATGAGGCCTAGGGACTAGGCAAAGCTTTTAACACAGGACACCCACGGTAATTGACATTGTACACCCAAAAGAAAAGGGAGGGGGAGTTTCCCCTTCGCGCCTTTCTCCCCATCCCGTCCCCCTTTTTGCGACTGCTGCATGACGTTGGCTAGTCAGCGGCAAAAACAACATGGCGGTAATGGCGGCCAAGTTTAAACTGATGAGCTGATCACACTGGTCTTAAACACGAAGATCAGAGATTATTTTCTGGCTTTTACTGAAGCGGTAAGTTACTGACCTATTTGCTAAAAAAGCGACTAACTTTCCATGATCGATCTCCCGAAACATGGATCACAAGACTGTTAAACAATGGATGTTTGCCATTTGTATAGAAAACCCGGTAATTCAGCGCAAGGGAGAATTCAAGTGGAAGCGCAGTTCATCCCGGTGGAATGAAATACCTCCAAACGGAGGTAATTACCTTTGTCTTGCTTTTACTGGTCTCTCTTTTTCACCATCAATTTGTCCCTAATTTATACCAGTGCCATGCTATTCATGAGAAGACAGCAATGCCCATGACTGGCAGATTCCACATTATCCGGGAGCCTCCTGCATACAGTTCCAATCTCTTGTATGGGTCACCAAATCTTCCAGAGCACATCAATCATCATTTAAGGCCTTTTATTGTGGTGGAGGGGGCGGTGTGTTTGATGTTGGGTGTGTATGTTGCAAAAGAGACAGTCTCCAGAAATAAAATCCCCAGAGGTTGGCAATTTTCTGCATGAGAAGATCATTGTTTGAGGCTGGCTAGTACAAACAAGATAGTAAGGCTGGGTCAGTGGCTAAAATGAGTAAAGCTTTGTTGACTGGGCCGGGCTAAAGGCCGGGCTACCTACCCTCCAATTCTGGTATCTCTAGATGTTTTAACCCTCAGCTAGCCCGGCTCAGTCACAGGGGAATGGCCAGGGTCACCCTGGCTTTTAGGCCTGGCTTTGGCCCTGTTCTGGTCAATCTGGGCTGGCCTACTGGTACCACTTACCCCAGATTTTTAATCCCTTGGCTGGCGCAATGATTGGGAAATGGCCAAGGTCAACCTTGCTTTCAGTCCAGGCTTTGGTCCTCTTTTGGCCAGACCAGGCTAGCCTGCTGATCTCAGCTTCTGCCAATTCTTTTTCTTTTTTTTTTTTCTGTGAACTTTTTTATCCCATGGCCAGCCATGACCCTGGCCTCTAGGCTGGGCTTTGACCCTGGTTTTCCTCGGTCTGGCTGGGCTCCTGACGCAAGGGAAAACTTGAAGTTTAATGAATTTTCTAACAAACAGCAGGGCTTGAAGAAACTGGAAATCCAGCTTGTCCTTTGGGCAAGCAGCTCTCACATTTGGATTTTCTGGGGCCACTTCTTGCTTGTCTTAGTTAATGATTTTGTTAGTGGATAACTTGCCTGGACCCCTGCCCATTTGGGAGAGTAAGCTCTTTAAAGTTACTTGCCCAACTTAAATATCTACTTGTCCTGGACTACCGGACAAGGCTGCTGCCTAAGAAAATTTTTTGGGAGATCCTCAGGCTCCTAAAATAAAAAGTTAGGAGCCCGAGCTCCACTTCTAGGAGCCCATTGATTAATAAACTTAAATAAGTAAGTGGATGCTCGAAAACCCGCTTCATGCATCTCGAAACTCGATTTGTCTGAGTTTTGAATAATTTCCAGAAAAGTGCTTGTTTGTTTACTTTTATCGATCAGCGGAAATTTTTTGCCTAGGGTCGATGAACACATGTTTTACGTTTTCGTTTTGAAAGGGAAAAATGAGCAGGAAATTCTGTCGTTCCTTCATTGGAGATGGGCATAAAGCTATTGTCATAAAAATCATAATAAGTTTTAGGCACCCATGCGGGCTCCTTGTTTCAAATTGTAGTAACCTGCGAGCAAGTTGTAGGAGCCTCTGCTACAGAAGATGACTTTTTTCGAGCCCTGAAACAGACCATTGGAATTATGACTTAGAATCTATGAAAACATGAGAAGCCCATTTTCTCCTTCCCGCCTTTCTTTTGCTGCAAATTTTCATCGAGAGAGAGACATCTGGGTGGTAATACATTACATTGTAAGATTCATTCTGGGATTTCATTTTATAACATTCTTTTAATTAACAGAGGGCCTGTTTGAAAAATGCAAAAAGAAACTAAGGGTACTCTCCGTTTGTTAGACCAATCCAGTTGAAAAGAACATTCCATTATTAATCATGACTATCCAGTCAGGTTAGTTTACATTCAACTCTCTCAAAGACGGACACCTTTGGAACTGATCCCAACTGTCCATCTTAGAGAGGTGTCCGGTTGAACCTATTCGCAATGAGTACACATCTGTTTTACTTGTGCAAAACAGTAAAACCTGGAAGAATGTAATAGGAAAGTGTTTTTGTTTTTCTCCACGTGGTGTTTAGAAATGTCAATAATGGATTCAAGAAACAAGCTGTAGGAGAAGAACAACCTCGTTCCCAGGGTCTTCTTCTACTCGGCCGGCTTAGTAGGAGAGGACCCTAGGAACTAGGTTGGGAGACGTACTGTATTGGTTTTGTAATTTGCTTCTCCTAGTTGTAGTTTACTGTTATGGGGAGCACCTAAATTTCCGTTTGGAGGTAGTTCTTACTACATAAATAACTTCATAAGTGTCCATTGAAGGTTTCATGAGTGTCTGTTGTCGGCCCTAGAGAGGTGGCCGTATTATAGAGAGTACAGTTACAGTAGAATGACTGGAAAACGGCAGGGACCGACACCAGGCGTCCGTTTCTGAGAGGTGTCATCTTATAGAGGTGTCCATTAGGAGAGAGTTGACTGTATTCTTAAATGGTATGCGTGTGGAAGTTGTGGGTTTCAGGCAAAATTTCGCGAAAACACTGATCAATACTTTGTTTTCAAAATGACTGCTGGTCCCATCGGTCAGCTCTGACTTTTAGTAATCGCCCCAAGATCCAAGAAAGGTTGTTTCGACATTTTTCTGATAGTTGAAGAGGCTCCCTACAGTCAACCGTTATCTGATAGTTTATTTCAATGTCTGTGTTATCTCGTTAATATTACCTTCTGACAACAAACTTATTTCTGGCTACTTCTTGGGGTGAAATGAAGGACGACATCTTCGAATTTTAAATTTAAGCTGAGTATTGCATTTTCTGAGCTGTTCATGATAAATAAGGCGTAAATAAAATAAAACATGAATAAAACTGAGGGAGAGGGTTTTATGTAGAAGGTGCTATTTTTGTGACAAAATGTACAAAAAAGTTTTATTTTTTATCACAATTTTATAGTTTTAGCCTAACAAAAGTTTGTTTCTCGCGTATCCAACAAAACAAAAAAAGGAAAGAAAAGCAAGAAAAGCAAATGAATTATCCTGTGTTGTAAGTGTTGACTTGTGTCTTGTTCTAGAATATGGAGAGACCTCGTTTCGAATTTGTATCTACTTGTAATCTGCAGAGAATTGTGATCCATCAAACTAAACTGAAAAAAAAGTTTCTTCGCGTAATCCTAATTTAAACAAATAAGCAAGAAATACTGAATGAATGGTGAAATTCTGGAAACAAGTTATATTACTTGAATATGTGAAATTTAGTATCTGTCCCCGAGTTTGATGCCAGTTTTTACAAATGTAGGCCAAGTATGAAACAGTTTTTCCAAAGACCATCCTACTTGTCAGTGCAGGGGAAAGTTCATGCATGTTCTTAAGATGACAAACCTTATACAAAATCCTACATCTACAACATGGACACTATTTGACACTATTTTGCTTTCTGGGAAATGTTTTCTTTGTTACCCGTTAGGAAAAACATTTGTCTTTGTGTCAAATTGTGTCTTGCTCAGTGCGCTGTGGTTCATAGTGAAACAGGTAATTTTTTTAAGTCGATGGTTAGTTTGTAAATATTTTACTTTTCTTCTTATCAAAGAAACCACTTCTTTTGCCAAATATCACTACAGGTTTTATGATACACAGACCATTCTTTTGGGAGTGTCTCATTAAATGAAGGTGTGTCATTTTTGTAAAACATGGTTTAACCCTCGAATATTACATTGAGAATTGCCCTTGAGATCAATAGTCTTATATTTACATTTGGGGTTAATTTGGTCGTGAAAGCCATTTCACTATCAATTAATAACCGTACTGTCAAAGTTAAACAGGTATTATATCATAGTTTTTCAATGATAGTTCTTATGCAATGGAAATCCCGTACAGTGAGTATCACAATTTCTGCAAAGCGTCGAAAAAATTTCGAAAATTCGTTGCGAAAATTGTACGAACCCGTTTTCAACAGAAACCCTGAGCGCCTCATGACACTTCCAAGTAGAAGGCAGAAGTTTTTAGGAAAACCAAAATAAAATAACAGGTTTTTAGAAAGTGTTTTTCTTGTAGGCCTCCCGAGTATTGGTCTAATTTTGCAAACAAACATTGAAGTCAATGATGAATAAATGTATAGGAATGTCTGTTAGTATTAAGGCAAAGTCGAAACCATTTTGCCCTTTGTCAGGAATTCCCTTCATGGGTAAGGGTAATCGTCCATAGTTTGGGGCGACCCCGGCATGAGGGTCATCTTTCTGCTCCTGTGAGTATAAGACGCATAAAACGTATTATTTTTGCTTTTATCTTTTACTTTTTAATGGTCGATTTTGTTAGTAATCCTTTCGTTAGATTCGTTAGCGAATCGTTGTGTTTTAGGTAAAAATTTCTTTTGCCCGTACGTACCTTAATGCACTATTCTTTTTTAGCTAGTTATGTAATACTGTTCTTTCAGACTGTGCAAGTGCCAAAAAATATTTAGATATTTTAGCTTACGTTGTTAGAAACACAGCGGCGTTTTTAAGACTGAACAGGTCAAGTTCAACGGCTTTTTGTCTGTCAGCAATCACTATCCAAAAGTATCATTTGGTGATCAAACTCTGCTAGATCGTTTGATATGTTTGGAGTTGACCAAGTGATCTTTGAAAATTGTTCAATGGCTGCGATCACTTTGAGGAAGGACTAGCTATTATTTCGACTCGAAATGGGGGAGAGCTTGAATAGAAAGTCTTGAACAATCGTGGATCCAATAGCTTGTCTGTCTCCGCGTTAGATTGGAAGGCGTTTCTAAAAGTTTGATTACTCGACGCCCAAATAAAAACGGAAATTTCAGGTTTAAAAGTGGTCGCGTGACCGTTTTAAAAGAGTGTCGTTTTCGGTCAAGGTGTTAAAAGTGTAGCAATAAAAATAGTAATATATCAGAAATAATACGAAAGAAAAAAAAAGCGATAAAGAAAAAGCGAAATGCGATCAGTTTCGGATAAGTTTTAGAATAGTGAACGAGTCTTTACGAAATTTGCGTACGAATAATTTTGGATTTTATTTCTTTCGGATTCTCTTTTTCTCTCACATGTAGCTTAATGGAGGGTTACACGATTGACGGAAATTCAAGTCGGTAATCCCTTTTTGCATTTGGTTCTTAAATAGAATATGAATTAAACAAGTTTTAAACTAACCTTCTTGGCACAAATTCTATATCGTTCAATTTTATAAAGTATTTACTCTTGACTTTTGTTAGGCCTTAGATCTTTACTGGTGTTTTTTGTATATGGCCAGTTGTTTTACTAACAAATTCCTTTTAATGGCCATTGTATGCTGTTTAACAGTTTCAAAAGTCATTCAAAGAAGAAATGGAAGTCTCTGTGGGTTTATTCGTCACTTAGGAGAAGTTCTGATGATTTAACAAGTCTTTAGTGACCTCTTTATCTGTTTATACTTTTGAAGGAGTTCAGTTAAAACACATGCTACTTTTCTATTGGCCCTAGCGCCATATTTCATATACAGTTGTTTTACTTTGTATGAATATAACATGCTTGTTATCATAAAAGAATACATAGCAGTTTGAGAAGCAAATATAGAATATTACTATAATACTTCTGACTAAGGGCAAAATTTATTTTCTCCTGGGCATTTTCGAAATTATACGTGTTCGAGTCAAGAGGAGATTTTAGTGGACAAGGTCGGAATAATTGAGAACGCCACGTGACAACGAAATTCAAAAAGGGGACGGTTGATTTGCAATGAAGTATAAACTTAACGCTGGTACCCTAACTTACATATCAACAAGACAGCCGGTGGTTAATCGTTGTAAGATTTCTCAATATCTGGCTGGTGAGACAATCCATAGAGATGCTGTAGACAATAGATTACTTGTAACCGACGCATAATTATTTACCATACATCTATAATCGTATAGGGCCACTGATTGATTTCCATCAACAAGATATTAGTAATTTTGTTGACTGAAATCTTGCTTTCGTTCAATTACGTCGTCTTATGTCTTGAAGTGTTAAATTCGTTTTATAAATGGTTCCAGTATTCTCTGATTTCTAGATCGTTTGAAATGTTATAAGAAAGAACAAGAAATGTGCAACTGCAGAGTTCAACAAATTGACTGTTTAGCCCTGACTAACGCGACTTTATTTTGACGGCAACGCAGGGACCTTGATCAAATAGTTGAACAAAATTCGAAATATGCGGGGTTGGTATGGAGAGAGTGATCCCTCGTGGAAAAATGTCTGCTCCCAAATTATCCATTCTGAAGTACTCCTAGGAATTCTTGGTGGGGGTGTGCCGCCCGGTTCTCCAAATCCTTACCCTCTTTCAGACCAAAAAATGTCATTTTTCACACCCGTTTTCAGACCTGCCTCTGAGAAATTATGTCTTCATTGTTTAGATTAGAACGCCAACAAACAAGATTTCTTAAAATCCTTTTCGAATTCGCATATTTCTCTTTCTTTGTTATTTATTTGAAATTGAAACGACAGATACGTTCATACATTCCCGCAGTTTCCTCGAAAACCATATCCGATTCCAGACCAAAATGGGCAAAGTCTATACCTTTTTCAGATCAGAAAGACTACTCTTTGGGGCAGCAAATCTCTATACGGCTCATATAAGAAAGTAGAGCCCCCGGGGTTGTGTTCCAAGTGATAATGTTATCTTTCAATGTTTCAGGTATGGAGTTGTTATTGTCACGAGTGATATTCGCTCATCGCATCATTCCGATGAGGAAAAAACTGACTTAGCAAGTCAACAGACAGTTCGTGTTAAAAGAACTTTACCAAAAGACACTGCTGAACAACATGGACCAACGACCAAGAATGCAGTGCAACAAAACAAAGGTGAGCCGGTGATTGACATAAAAATGTATCATCTAACAGTGAAGATCCAAGCAGAGTTACAAGTTAACTGAAACTTCCAAAAGAATCATTCTCTATTCCCTGTGCTAGTCCGGAGCAATTTTTGTCCCCAGTGCCCGTCGTTTCTTTTGGCCCCAATGCTGTGCTTTGCGTAGCAACCTGGAGATTAGGATTGCGGGCTCCTCAAATCGCCTGCAACAACAATGAAGGAATTATACACTGTAACGGTCGAGTAACAATATAACTAAAGTGTAATTCTACCAATGATGAAAATATATGATCGTTTATCATTCACCAAAGTGTTTCTGTTGATTTGAACTTGTTTTCAGATTCAGTAACAAAGGACCTTTCCACAGTGACAAACACCACCAATGCTGATGCAGGTAATCTTTGAACCTCCGCTGAGATTTTATTAAAGTTGGAGGAGGTTTTTGAACAACTAGAGTCGAGGAACATAGAACCTAAATAAGTTTTTATAACAGTGCAAGTAGGTTCCTCTCTTACGGGAACATGGGGAACGGGATTGGGGGGGGGGGGGGGGGGGGGAAACTGCTGGCCCCAGGGAAGGGGTGGGGTTCTTACTTCCTTACCTAGGAATTTGTTTGGGGAGAGAGAGAAAAGGGGAAGAAAACACAAAAAAATTTTTGGCGTAAACATGGCTTGAAATAAAAACATAGAAAACATGCGGATACCCTTCTGTATGGTTTTGTTAAAGTGTGGAGGTGTTATTGTAAAACAAGGCGGTGAAAAAAACAAAGGAAAGGTAGGTTTGATAAAGACGGGATGGGGGTGCCGGTGGTTGGGGGGTGGGGGGGGGGGGTGGGGGGGGGGGGGGGGGGGGTAGGTAATCGTCTGCACCCAGGCTAGGTGTTGGGTCTCTACTTCTCTACTACGAAATTGTTTAAGGGAAGTAGCAAGAAAGGGAAGAAAGACGTAAATATATTTGCGCCTAACATGGTCTTTAGACTACAAATAGCGAAGCAAAGAGACATTTTCAATAATTGTGAATTATGCAAAGGAAGTAGAACATTGGATACGTTCCGTAACTTTTTTTGCCCGGTCAGATGATTTTATTGTTCAACCAGCTCGCCTGTTTTTTTTATTTTATAATTTCTTGGCAGTGCTGCCAGCGGGGGACCTCCCTGTTGTCCCTTCGCTGGATACCGGTAACGCCGCCTTTGGGAACGAGCCTGTGTCTGCAGCATAATAACTATTTTTTATACTGCTCATGAGCAGAACGTGTTCTGTAGGTCTTCCGCGGGTGACGCAATCATTCTCTAGACTAATCCATGGATAATAGATAGACTGGTCTTTCTATTATCTATGACTAATCTAAGCCTGGGAGAGAGTAATTAGAATGATAATTCTGCTTGATTTCAATAGATGAAACTGAAAGCAAAAACTGGTTAATTTGTGTTTTTTTTTCTTCAGCTTCCAGCAAGCGATTTAAAATCAGCACCCGCTATGGAAATATTCGTATTACCGGTAAGACCAACAGCAGAGGGATTCGATGCCGATGCTTATTTTTGTCCTTTTAGGGTAACACTGTTTGCGAACTCAACACTGAAATAAACCTTATGTGTTACTGAAAAATTTGCTTTTTAACTTTCTTTATTTTTTCCATCTTGTAGGAGTTGGGCGGAGACCTCGTTTAGGCCATATCTGCTTCGGCAAAAGTAAGTTAATTTCAACGTGTTTTATAACACCCTAGTTGAATCCAAGTTAGAGATCGTACGAGCGCTTAAATTCTAAGATGTTTTCTTTCATTTCTGCCGGATATTTGTGCTCCCAGAAGTATGCACTGTCGACATCTTTGTAGCAAGAGGAGGTTGTACACTGTTATTGGACACTTACCTTATATTCTCTTTGTTGTATCTTCCTACAGATTGGCGAAAGCACGTCAACTTGGTTAACGTGTGCATAACCATCCGAGGTGAGTATGATAGGAACTTGAATTAGTTAGCATTTTCTGTCAGCAACAAACAACTCCTCCCCCAATCCCTCAACAAAAGAAATAAAAGTAACTAGTAAGGAATAAGAAGTGAAAATAGTAAAATAATACAGATCAGACCTTTCGTAGCAGCTTCCCCACCCCTCCCTACCCCTAGTCTCCTTTCAGTCCTTAGAGATTTTGCATTCACCATTTTCACCGAGACCATAATGCACCTTGTTTACCCCCCAAAATTTTACATAACCATTGTTTCCAATTTTTCCTGGGTATTACAGTCGTTTCAAGAGAAATCGAAGACAATGGTTATGTAAATGTTTGGGGGATAAACATGGCGAATTATGGTCTTGGTGAAAATGGTCAGTGCGCGGTTTCAGATTTAAGTCAAGTCTTAATAGTGACTCGCGGCTTCGCTACTCGTAGCTTCAGCCTTCGGCAGAAGATCGACTGACACTGAAGCATCCTGCCGTACGCGAGAAAGAAAAAAAAACCCTCAGGTACCCGGGGTTCAGACTACCCCTAGTCTCCTTTCTGTCATGAGATAAACCCTCATCAATCCTTTTTTGAATTTACAGCCCGTAGGAGAAGAAGACTGCGAAGGTTGCGAGGTAAATAAGATATGCAAGAACTTTTAATTAATGACTAGTAAATGTTTCATGTCACTTGCCTTGCGTATCACATTGGCCAAGACAAAACAGTCCAACGTTTTTTTAAAGCTATTGTTTATACTTCTGGTAGTATGCTAAATTGATTGCTCTTTTGATATATCTTTAACGATCTGTTTAGCAAAAATTAGCACTGCACCAAGAAAAATGTGCATATTAGATCTTCATACAGCTTACGCAGGTCGCTTTTGTGATTTATTTGGACTGGCTAAATTTAAAAAATGTAGACTTTTAGCCATCCCTTTATTAGTCGAGGTGGCAAGCTGAACGGGCTGACTCGGGAGACTGAAGAGAGCGGACAAGCTCAGTAGAAAAGAAGCTTCGAATGCTTTCTCTTTGGCTGGAGGCTGGACTATACTTAATCGCTTTCTCCCTAAATTTCCAGTTCTTATTTTAGCGGATCTGTTACGCCAGTTCCAGTAAGTTCCAATAATAACGGACAACCGTCTCTCTGTTGACTGACGCGAGTCTTTCAAAATGAAACGCGGATATTGTCTGTGAATTAACTGTTTATTATTATTATTACCTTAACAGGCTTGCGCCGTCGAAGAGTCTATTTCAAAGGCCGTTACCGCAAGGTACGACGTTGGAAGCGACGATGGCGCGTGTTTTACCGTAAACGCTGGTGTCGTGTTCGTCGAACCGGGCGCTATCAGATCTACGTAATAAACCACTGGAGCTATTTGCGGCGAATTCGCGGTCGGTGGTACGTCTATCATGTAAGGAGATGGCGTCGAGTTACAAATCTGAGAGGACATTGGTACTTGAGATTTAAACGCAAGTTGTATCGCCTGAGAAGATCATACAAGACTTGGCGAATACGTTTCTACCGCAAATGGCGTAGACTCAAGCGGCACGGGAAACGGTATTTCATTTTAGTGGGAAAACGTTGGGTTAAAATCAGGTCCCGTTTTACTTGGCGCATAACATACAGAGGTCGATCAGTCACCGTTAAGAGGCGAAGAAATCGGTTTAAGCTCAGGTGGCGAGGCCGATGGCTAACATGGCGCCGAGGATATAAACGTAAGTGACTTATTTCGCGCTTATTTTTTCGCCCCATGTAATGGAATGCGGATTACGGAATCTAGAAAACTTTTGCTTGTGGAATCCGGAATACAGCTTAGAAATCTGAAATCCGACTAACGATTGGAATCCGGGATCCAAGTTTCTCTGACAAATTATCCGGAATCCAACAACTAGAACTTCCAGAATCCACTGCGTGGAGTCCAGAATTTAAGACTGTCTTGGATTCCCTTAAATTGTGGCGAAACTTCACATTTTCAATATCACTTACTGTTTAAACAAGATTTTAAAATATCATATCGTCTAATGTGCCAGAACAGAAGGTTTCAGAAACAATGAAATGAAATAGGTAAAGACGTGAAGGTAATGCGGAATTATGAGAAACCAGAAGTGGTTGCTATATGGAGTTTATTTCGGATGATCCTTTGAAAAAGTAGACCTAACACGTTGCCAATATTTTTTGTAGGTAGACCAAGGCGTCGTCGTCGTCGTGGCCGACGTATGCGCAAAAGAAAGGGCAGAAGACGTATGTATTATTCATACTATAAATATTTATCTTTGCTGCTGAAATCTCTTTATTCGAAGCAGGCCTACAAGCCTTAAGCCCCTCCCTGCCCTTGGTACCCCCGCGCTCAGCCCCTGATGCAACTTTTCCCACGCTTAGCACCGGATGCAAATTTTCCCGCTCTCGGCGAAGGATGCAGCTTTTTTCAGTCTTAGTGACAGATGTAGTCATTACTGCGCTTGGCGACGGATGTAAATTTTCCCGCGCTAGGCACTGTATGCAACTTTTCCCGCGCTGGGCACTGAATGCAACTCTTCTTGCATTAGGCACTTAATGCAAACTTTCCAGCGCTTGGCGACAAGTTTTCCTTGTCTTTGAACCGGTGTGCGTATGGTTTTAGTTGTTCTTGTTATTTTTTTCTTTTTTTTTGTAATAAGGTTGGCGAAAACGAAGACACCGACGCCGACGATACCGAAAGAAAAGAAGGCGAATTAGGCGAAGGCGACGAAGAAAGAGACGGCGAAAGAGGAGAAGACAGAGACGTAAGAATATATTATAAAATCACCGATTTCTTTACATTTCCCGTTTATACTGAGAAACGTTGTCCCTTGTAGAAAGGCCACTTGCCTACCTGAGCTACCCTAGGCAACTGAGCCAACTTTTCATACATTCCCTTACAAAACATGGCGAACTGTTTACGTGAGAAACAAAACGTTGGCTCGGCTAGCGGGTCACCCTTTCTTGATGGTAGGTTCTCACTCCTAGCCGGGCTATTTTTCTCCATAAAAAACTTTGGCTCGCCCAGACGAGTCAACTCGGTATAGGAGAGACAATGAGAGCTTTAGACTCTAAGACGAGGACGACTACGACAACGGAGATTTTCTCAATACTAACTAGTGCTCGCTAAAACCGACGTCATTTTGGCGGGAAAACGTGACGGCCGTTATCATTCTACTTCGAGTTTTTAGCGAAAATGTCGTAGTGGCGAAAACAAGTTATCAACTGTTAGAACTTTTATCATTTAGCGATCTGGAGTGGGCTTAACCTCCGTATTAATTTTTCGGGTGAAAAAGAGCACAATGAAGCTTTCCTGAGTGTCTTATTTTTAGAGAATACGCGAAAAAACTTAAAGCTAAATGTCGTAGTCGTCCACGAAACTAAAGCTCTCTAATTAACGCTTGCCCTTGAGCGCTGTTGGCTCGGGCAAAGGGGTCAATCTTTCCCAGGACAACTTTTCTTCATATAAAAAGGGCCTTAGGAACTGAATTAACTTGGTCAGATTTTTATAGGTGACAATAAAGTGGCAACCATGCAAAGTATCCTTTTGTCAGTGAACTGCCTAAAGAATTAATCAGACGGTTATAGCTGAAGAAATCCTCTTTTAGTTTGTTGCTATTATGATGTTACTCTCATAAAAAGATGACCCTGGCTGAAACACTGCTCTCAGTCTTTTACCATCTGAGTATTCAGTGTCCTTCAAGTCACAAAAACAATGCTGAAACGTGAAATTCGACTTGAGACGTTGAAGTGGACTTGTTTAAAAACGTTAAAAGTAGACGATAGCTTTGTAAAAACAAAGTTTTCTGTTGAAAAAAAAAAAATACAACACTGACTCTTCCCAGTCGTCTCTGGACAGGCTGAGCATAAAAATGCGTCGCAATTCTGTTAAAGCCGTCTGTTAAGTGCGGCTGGACGACTTAATTAACAGGGCCCGGTTCCTCGAAAGATGGTTAAGTTTAACCCAGGATTAAGCCAAATTTCAAGCACGGTTTTCTAGTCTAAGAACATACAACTCGAGGTTACAAAATACTGTTGACCTGTTACTACGGGATACGGTAATGATAACACAAAATGTACCCTAAGCAATGCATGTGAATGTAAAATACGAAAACGGAACAAAATTTCATTCCTGGATTAACGCTAATCGACCTTTCAGGAACCGGGCCCAGAATACGATAATGTCGATAGACGTTAATAAATGCTCTGTCTTTTGTACCGTATTTATACTAGACTTAAGACGCTCAATGCTCTATGTAATCACACTATCCTCCAGCTCAAGTTATTTTTTTTGTCCCTTGTCTGCCTTGACCCAAAAATGGCATGGCTTTAAACATAGAGACGCTCATGTGCTTTGGAATTTTATCGTAATATTTGCATGACTTTCTAGGTCGACGACGACGCCGAAGACGACGACGTCGAAGAAGACGAAGAAGGAGAAGACAAAGGCGTAGGTTTTGTTTTATTAATATTAATTTACTGAAGTTTTTATATGATGTTTGCGTACACTATTCGTTATTTTTTTAGTCATTAATAGCTATGTTAGTAGTGGATGCCATCTTAAAAAGTCGGATTCTAGTTTCCACTTCTCCCCTATGGTTAGATAAACCTGACAATAGTATAATACGTTTTTCTCTTTGTTCATGAACGGAGTCGAAAAAGATCTCTAGTTTTCCTAACTCCTGTTTGCTTTTTTTTTAACTGGCTTGTATCCGAAAAACACAAATTTAAGAGCCCATGACTGTAAATATCGAGAATCGCTGGCCAGGCTAAAAAAATCGAAAATTCTGATAATTTGTCAGAAAAACCCCTTTGGGGAACTATCTTCGAAAAAAATATTTTCAACTTTCAAGAATCTATAGTTTTCGAGAAAATGAGGAAAAACGAAAATAGCGGTTTTTACCTAATTAATTATGCAAAAATTAGAGTAAAAATGACCTACTTTATCGCGTCTATACCGAGGCAAGATTCAAAGCTATAAACCAGAAGTATTTTTGTTTAAAAGCATTCTATCTTTTCTTTCTATCCATGGTATGTTTTAAACCATAAACTTGATTTTGAATTTTTTATGGTTTTTTAAAAAGTACCATCAATGGCACTTTTTAAAATGGCTTAAAAATGAGCAACTTCAGAGGCAAAAAACTCACCTTGGTATGTGTGATACCTAGCCAAAATGTATACTAGGACAAAGTTCAGCTCTTATATTAACGGAATATGAAATAAAAAATCTGGGTACTCCGGATTCGCCCTTTCAAAATAAAAAGTTTCGTGACCACCAGTGGAAAAATGTCACAAATTTGCATAAGTCAAATTTGTAGAGAATGTTGCGGCAGCCGGTTTTGTTTCAATTCAGGGTCAGTATGGAATGTTCGGAAACATCACGAAGTAAGAAAACACTTTTTGATAAAGTTTATGTTAAAATATCAGAGTAATAAACCGTTCACAAAAAAATAATAATAAAAAGCCGACCTCGAAGAAGCGTTATATAAGAGCGCCGAATTTCTTAAGTAAACTATATCCCATGTCTCTCGTTTCGTTTCCTAACTTCCTTGTATTAGCATCCATCTGTATTATCGTAAATTCGCCTCCGGTATGTCTAAAATAGGTAAGGTACATTTTCCTTGAAATTTTATTTGCGAACGGGATACACTGCGTGAGAGGAAGTCATAAACTAACAGTTAGAGCAACAATGTCACGCAACGACGTCTCGAGCAACTCCGCCTTCTTTCACTGATTTGCTTCTGCTTATGAAATTTTATGAACCAAAACAAGTTCCAACCGACACCGCCGAAGAACTGGAAAAGGAGACTGCAGTCGAACCTCCCGAAAGCGACCACCCAAAATGCGCAGACTTAGTGGTCGCTAACAGGAGGTGCTCTCTTACGAGAATCGAACCACAGGAGGTTTCTTTGAGAAGAAAACTGGACACATCTACTTTAAGGAAGATAATTTATTGCGTGCAATTTCCAAGTTACGATATGTGCAGTTCCATGTTGTTGTTGTTCCTACCACAAGACATCAGAAACTCGTCAGGTGGTCGCTTACACGAGGTTAAAAACAGCCCCAATTAGTGGTCGCGGGCGCTTACAGGAGAGATTCCAACTGTAATTAAATTGGGTGGGTTTTGGTGTTTTGGATAGGTTGTCGCACATAGAGGTTCAACTGTAGTCCAACAGAGTAAATCACTTTTCACGACGATGCGACTAGGATTTGTCCATGGAAGATAAGACTCCTTGTTCACCACTTTTGAGCTACTCTAACCAACTCCCACCCATGTCGAGTGTCTGCAAAACGTAGCATCATCGTGAAATGAAAGGTATCAGAAAGGTCATCCTTGACGCCGCCGGCCTATCGCAGTATGCAGCAGCGAACTTATATCGGCGTAAGTACCATTTACTAACCGGGCAGTGGGCGACGCAGAGTAAAAGCGTAACTTGACTACGTTTTTCAGTTTGCAGCAGACCCGAGTTTTGTTGAAAGAAATACCTGCCTTTTGCTCAGGAGTATTAACGTCAGTACCCGCAATGTCCCAACTCGTGCCTTCACACCGGAACGTCCGATCGAATCACTGTCCAGTTGATAGTAACACCCTTCTCTTCCTCTTCGCGACTTATCTAGGAAGATCGAAGGGCCTCTGATCGCAGGGTAGTTGATAGCGACCAAGGAGCTAAATAACATAGCGAGGTAAGTAAGTGGTATCGGCGGTTTGATTTACGCCTAACCGTTTCCCAAAGTAAAGAAGGAAAGAACTTCAGACAAAGGGAAAGAAGAGTTATGCGATAAAACTGCTCTTAAATTGATGTTTAGCTATGGCATATGCGAGGGGGTGGGGGCTATTTAATTGCTGAATAACATGTGTCGTTACCAAAAAAATTACGGAAAAATATTTTTTCCTTGGTCTAGAATTTTGACCATGAAAATTTTAGATCTAGCCATTTGTGATACCAGGCCAAAAAAATCCAATATTTAAATATTTCCCTCTTAGCAGCACGCCCTCTAATTACACTGTCCTTCAGTTTGGACGGTATCCAATATTATATATCCGCAGGAACGAAACATGACAACAGCTGGTTACAGATTGTCATGATCAGTGTGTGAAGCGGGGGATCTGGGCACCCTATGACAGTTCTTGTCAAGAAGACCCCAAATCAGTATATTTGCTGTTTTAGGTTAATTCTGTGCTAAAGTCATTACTTACTGCCCTTACCCAGTCAAAAAATGTTCAGTGAAGACTTATAAGTATCATTTTATCAGGTATCACTAGCAAAAATATCTTTTTGGGTGATGCATTTAAACTTGAAAAAGATGGCCCAATATTTCCAATTTTCAGTCCATGTCCATCCTGGCCATCAGTAGTAACAGAACGCGACAGGAAACAGTTTCAGTGCCTAAATATAGTCTTACATAACAAAACTGGACCATAATTTTTGGAACTAAATTGATGCGAAATGAAGACCATATTAGCTTTTTAAAATGAACTAGCAATTAGCTTGGCATAGCCGCTTTAACTCTTTTTTGACGGCCAATTTTAGTAGAAGAAAACCCTGCCTTTTGACCAAATCCTCCCTTTTGGACCGCCTTTCAACCAGTTAGAGCCTGCATAACAGGCGTTATTTTTTTCGCGTTTTTGCAGGAGAACGAAGGCAATCACAAAGTGAGTGAGAAGCGCCAGACATACCCCTTAATGGCTCTCCTCACTCGCTTCGCGCTTGCATTCGCTCCGGCTTCGGGCTTAATTGCCTTCGCTCGCCTGAAAAACGCACACCTGTTATGCAGGCTAGCCAGTTAGGTTGATATGCGAATGGCTGAAAAAGATTTGCAACACTAGACTGCTCAATTGGACTTACACTAATTTAGAAGCTTTTTTGGCGCATTCACAGAAGCCAAAATTTGACATCTCTTACGAACCTATATCGATCTTTCTCTCCCGCTCTCTTTTTTCCCTTTGCCTTTCTTCTTCTGTTGTTCCGGCACTTGATCGTCTTCTGACTGTCTTTGCTTTGCAAAGAATTTTGGCTGGTAAACTTTTCAGGAAAGGGACATTTAATTAATCAGTAGAGAATAGAAGGTGAATAGAAAATCTAGAAGTAGATTTTTTTACCCCAAATGTTGCTTTTTGTGTGTGTGTAACTCTCTCAAGATACATGAAGATAGGTGAAAATTTGCTAAATGAGGTACCAGTGGAAAAATCTATTCTTGTTGACTTTGATCAGTTTATAACCTTGGTGAATAAATGGAAAGCTAGATGGGTTCATGAAGGATATTCATGGTGAAAAAACACCAAAACGACCCCAGTGTCGGCAGCACTCCCTCCATCTGATTTACTTTTTCTATTGAGAGGACAATTGCAAGGATTCGTGAGGGTCTGTTCAATCAGGATTTCAACTAATCAATGGCACAATTACGGGTCGGTCCACTTGACGATCTTTGACCATCTTTGGCTGTTCGAAATCGTGTCTGGACCTGAAAGTGTTGAACGCACGAACAGTGAAGAGGCAGAAAGAGGAGGTGGAAGAATTTCAGAAAAGACAGGAGAGAAAAGGGGGCAATGATTACTTTAATCTTGTCTTTACTTACGTTATTTTTAATATGCGAGACGTGGCAATTTCACCAAAATATAACTTTGAAAAACTACTGAGAAAATTAACTATTTCGCATTTTTATTGATTGAAAACTCATAGGGTCTGATGTATAATGTTATTAATGGCAAATCCCCTAAAATACCTTGACGAATGAACTATCGGTACCATAAAAGCATGTGCCCACTCCAAGAAAGATGTGTGACCGCGAAATTCATTCAGGTGAATAAAGTAAAGTTAAGTCATCTGACATGAATAATATTTCTTTACACCGGTAAAAAAAGAGTCTGACGGTGATGAGTTTGACAACAGTCACGCAATTGCAGAATACAGTACTCCAATTGCTGAGCAACCTTAATTTTGTAATGTACAATTAAGAAGAGCTAAGATACGAAATACAAAACATTTAACATTAGCTATTCTCTTGGTTATGCTATTCCAAGTTCCAAATATTGCGTGATGCTAACAGTATTGAAACCCGTCCTATATGCAGATGCATTTATGTGTTTATATGCAAATTTATCACATTGTGTCACCAACATTCACAGCAATTTGTTATCAGGGATATCAATTTTTCAGATCCTTTACTTAATTTTAGCTTCATTTAAAGGCGCTTTCATCCTTTCTCCTACGTTTTGAATATACCACGTACCGAAACTACAAAGAAAAATCAGGCGGCATCATTTCTCTACAAATTTGACTTATGCAAATTTGTGACATTTTTCCACTGGTGGTCACGAAACTTTTTATTTTGTAAAGGCGAATCCGGAGTACCCAGATTTTTTATTTCATATTCTGTTAATATAAGAGCTGAACATTGTCCTAGTATACATTTTGGCTAGGTATCACACATACCAAGGTGAGTTTTTTGCCTCTGAAGTTGCTCATTTTTTAGCCATTTTAAAAAGTGCGCTTGGTGGTAGTTTTTGAAAAACCGTTAAAAATTCAAAATCATGTTTATGGTTTAAAACATACCATGGATAGAAAGAAAAGATAGAATGCTTTTAAACAAAAATACTTCTGGTTTATAGCTTTGAATCTTGCCTCGGTATAGACGCGATAAAGTAGGTCATTTTTACTCTAATTTTTGCATAATTAATTAGGTAAAAACCGCTATTTTCGTTTTTCCTCATTTTCTCGAAAACTATAGATTCTTGAAAGTTGAAAATATTTTTTTCGAAGATAGTTCCCCAAAGGGGTTTTTCTGACAAATTATCAGAATTTTCGATTTTTTTAGCCTGGCCAGCGATTCTCGATATTTACAGTCATGGGCTCTTAAATGTTTCTAATACGACGACGCAATATGGACAGTTCAGAGTTTTCCTCATCTCATAGTTGTCAGTTCATTTAGTAGACGAATTTGATGTCTGGAAACTTATTAACGAAACTAGTTATAACCAAACGTTACGGAGTGCGGGCGACAGCGATCGAAGGTCAAAACGCTTTTGCTCCATCGCTGAGGTTTGCGTAAGTTTCACGTGACAAATAGTCAAAATACGGGTGATCAGATTATGAGTGATAGAAGGTCCAAACGCGCGTGATCAAATTGCATTCTGTGTATTCCATTCATTCTTAGTAGAAGTCCAAACGAATGTTGGCTACATACATGCGATGCATGCGTAATATCATCCTGGAGATTAGGATTGCAGGCCCCTCTTGTCGCCCGCAATAATATAGTCTTCAGGGTTCGTCGGTATAGAGGAGGGTTCGGTAAGGAGTGTTTGAACTGTAAGCTTATTTCAGAATCGCCTCTTTCAGGATACATATTGATAACTGTTCGCAGTGAAGGCTTTGAAGACCGGAGATACGGCAGGATGTTGGCAGGTCGCGCCCGGGCCTATATTAAGGTTAACGGGAGGGAATATTCTCGTAAGCGTCGAGGTTTCGACGTTGTGATTGTCAATCGCAGGACAGGTGAGATTATACTCTTGTTTGTTTGCCAAACTATTGACGTGAAAGTGATCTGTTAAGAAAGTTATTAGGGAGCTTAAGCAACTAGACGACGACGACAACTTCAAGAAACAATAGATTTAATGATCAAAACAACAGCTCTACACGTGCATCATGCTTTTTAGTACATTTCTTTGACGTCCACTGCAAGACTACGACGTGAAACCTCCTAATTTGACGTTTTATGGGGGACGTGGACATACGACGACGAATTTTCCTTCCTCCTTTTGAACTTGAATAAAATCCTTAAGTATTCAACTCCAGGAAAAGTCGCCTACATTTGACATATTAGAGACCTTTAGATTCTAAGACGAGTACGACAACGAGTACGATTTTTTCTTAATACTAACTAAGTAGTGCTCGTGCGTGAACTAGCGTCATTTTGGCGGGAAAACGTGGTAGCTGTCGTCATTCTTCTTCGAGTTTTAGCGAGAATGTATTGGCGGCGGAAACAAGTCACAGTCAAATGTTAAAAGTTTTAGCATTTTGCGATCGGAAGATGGCTTTTAAAACCTCCTCAATAAAGATAAAAATGCGAACTTTTCTTAGTGAAGAAATGCGTACAATGAAACTTTTCGGGGCGTCTATTTTTTGAGAATACGCGAAAAACCTTTTAACAAATCTCGTAGTCGTTCTCCTTCTCGAATCTAAAGGTCTAAAGGATTCCAAATTGGAGAGGGCGGGGGTCGACGGGGGCTAGCTCTGACCTTTGGGTCATGGAGCAACTCATGGTTGACTAGCTCACTTCTGCTGGCGAGTGTTTACTAGACAGCGTAATCTTCGTTATGTGGAGGGAAAATCCAGTACAAGCGTAAAGCCAGTGATCAGAAGTGTAGATTCCTGTAAAAATGAGAGACGCGATACTCTTATTGCGGAGGGGCGCGGAGCTGATCATCTTTTAATCCTTTACGGCGCAACTCGGTTTACTATAACAGATGGATCCTTTAGGCTCTCTATCTTTTAATTAAGTTCGCAAAAGCTACTCGATAATTCTGTCCCTATTAAAGAAATATGCTTTTTAGGTAAATTTTCTGCTTTTTAAAAATGCTTCTCATTTGCTTACGAATAGGTCGGGTTGAACACTCGCGATACTTCGATACCCACGGTTCCTCTTCCCATGCGCGTAGTTTCTACAATTTTATGAGAGGAATCAGACCCGGGTAAGTACAGTGCGATGCCTATAAGGTCCTTAAAACGTGCAACTTGTTTAGCAAAACGAGTTGAATAGCGATGTTGCGCGTTTTACCACACACCAGTCAAACCTGCCTTGCAACAAATGAGGTTGTTACAGGTTGCGAAAGTTGTTATGGAAAGTAGAAAGTAGGTCTGCTGTTTAGAACAAAATCTGTTCATATTGCACGTTTTACCGCCCCAAGGCAAACTTGTTTTGGTGTCATCACTCCCTTGTATGACGTCACTCCCGCGTAATTTTTATCCAGTCAGAAGTCAATATTCACGCAAATTGTATCAACCTGATTTTTTGCAAGAGCTGCGAAACAAGTTGCACTATTTTTGTGCCTGTTGCTTTAGTCCCTGAGAGTGACTAGGAACCAACTCAAAGTTATAGCATATTATGGTAACATGTATACTTGAAACAATCAAAACTTGTTAACAATTCAGAAAACTTTAACTGATAGATAATCTTTGCTGATTTGCCTCACAGGAAAATTGTGCTTGTTGCTGTTCAGGACGAGGCTGTTTACAGGGCTAAACGTTACCTCTCTGTTCTCCGACGCTTTGGCATCAAAAGTCGGTACTTAAGATTTGGCTACAGGGGAAGTTTCGCTTGTGTGGGCTACGTTGGGCGCCGACCCTCTTGGTTCAGGCAGATAAGCCATAGACGTAGACGAGGTCCCAGTGTCATCCGCATCCGTATCCCTCGATATGGAGGTAGTTAGACTCTCTATATCATCTTACTTCGATAAAAACTTACTTGAATGATCCAGTTTCTAGTTCGTCATGACCACTGCATAATCGCACTGAAGACGTAAAAGTTCAGGGGCACCCAACGGCAATTTTCGGAAAATATCTGTTCGGAAGACGATTTGAGATCTATAATTTTCGGATCATTTGTTGTAAAATTCTTGCTTGCCTGCCTCTCCTAAGATTTTCGAACATCTACAAAATGGTTTTTAACGAATTTTTACCCTAAAAAAGGCCACCTAGAATTTTCGGGAGCCTTTTCCCGGCTGAAATTTTCGAAAAGGTATGTTTTGATCCCTATAATTTTCGGATCACTAGACTTTCAGCTAGGAAATCCGAACAGATGAAAAGTTTTTAGGGGATAAAAACATGCCTATGTCTACCGTTTAAATACTAAAATACGTTCAACAATGCTATGTTAAGTGGTTTTGAACTATATCCTCGTTGGGTGCCCCTGAAAGTTTATTTGCGAGTTGTCTCAAGCCTACGTTTTAAAGGGAGGGTAAGTGTATTGCCTTTGATATGGAAAAGAGTTCCTGTTCTCATTCAAAAAAAATGAAATAAACATTTTCATAAGAGAGGTTTTGAAAGCGTGTTTTTTTGGAACTCCGGTATTACCTATTTTACAGGGATCACCTCTTTCTAAAACGTATTCACTAATTACAGCGAGCTAAAATGTTTAAAACCCAAATTGTTTTAAACGTCGAAATTCACAGGTGCCAAATTTAATGTAACTGAGCGGGAACAACAGATTTTCCTCCATGACTAGCATTAAATTTGAGACATGTGAGGTTCGACGTTTCATGGGCACCACCCGCTCATATTTGTACAAAATATTAATTAGTTCGAAACTAACCTCGTTTTAAATTGTCATTTGATTTTGTATTCCAACAAATAGCACTTAATCAAGTGAAATTGTTTAAGTGAGGTACATTCTTACACCTCTGATGTAGGTCGACGAAGACGCCGAAGAAGACGAAGAAGGAGAAGGCAAACGCGTAGGTTTTCTTGTTTCTAATTTTATTAGTTACAATTTGTGCATAAAGTTGAAGTAAAATGTTCATACAGAAAGTTTCTTGTATTAATGGTTATTGTGGAAGTGGACGCTATCGCCTTCAGTAATTTGTGCATGAGAAGGATCATTAGATACAATTTTAGTGTATTTTTTACCAACGAACAGAATTATATATTTGTGGTTGTGCTTATGTAAAGCGAATTTTTTTTTATACATCTCGCTATTTTTGAAATACCACTATGCAAGCAATCTGGTCAGTCTTTCTTCACCGTTCCACTCCCAATAATGACAAAAATACCGTTGTGAAATGCTGAAGAACAATTAGCAGTATAAGGGGTAGGAGAATTACTGTTAAAGACGTTTCCTTTAAATCGCTACGTCGCAAACTTTTGTCCCCAGACTGACTAATTTGTTCACTCTGTAAGTTAAAGGGATTAAAGTATCTGTTATATGCAGGGGTTTCGTTTCAAGCCGGACGCCAGACATTAGGGCCGTTTAAACGAGGAAAAATAAGATGCGTCTTCCATAGGGTGCGTCCTATATAAGACTCAAACTATCCGGTATAAACAGCACATTTGGTTTGAAACTTACCTAAGACGCGTCTTATCTAAGAACCGTCCCTAACACCTGTTCTTCCGATTATAAAGGTGCGTCTTTGCTAAGTCGCGTCTTAATGTGCCGTTTATACCGGATAGTTTGCGTCTTATTTAGGACGCGTCTAATGGAAGACGCATCTTATTTTTCCTCGTATAAATGGCCCTACTGTATTTTTGTTTGACATGTAACATCCGATTGTTTAGACACAAAATAATTATTTTTTGAGGTGTGAAAATCTTAGAAAAATAGATAATAGATGATAGCTTTAACAACTTGAAAGAATAGGAATGAGCGAGGGAAGATATTTTATGCAACTGGCTTCTAGGATGAGCTAGTCTAGAGGGGAGGTCCATGAAATAAAAATAAACATGCATAGACTAATGCGTTCATAAAATTATAACTGCTGTGAAGAGCTATTTTGAGAGGGGGGTTACGTAGAACGTTAAGACAAGCCTTCTCATCGTTTAATTTTCCTGTTTCAAGGTCTTATCTTCCTTTGTGAGAATACGTAGAAGACGGATTTATTAGTTAATTCAAAGTTAACAGCGAACATTTGCGAAGCAAACTTTTTCATGGCCTTTCGCCTGCGTAACCACAGACTCGTGCACTGCTCCAAAAAGTTCCATTTTACGAATACGCGTATCCACGAAAAACGCTAAAATATGGCAATTTGCATTGTAGTTTGCACAATAGTTTTGGTCTTTTTAAAAGGAACTGGTGTTAGGTAGATACAGGCAAACCTTCGTGATATGAACGCCAAAGGGAAAGAGCCAGTATCACACCCATTTTCTTTTATTATAGTTACACAATGTAGCAAGGTCAAATGAGGTGAACACGGAACGTATGAAACATTGGCTACCCTTCCTTAACAACACCCATTTAAATCCCAGAAACTCCTTTTTAATAAAAGAGGACTGGGTTGAAATTTACTCCAACCAAAAGACGATTAACTACATCTCACCTTCCAATCTTAGAGCCAGTGTTAAAACTCGCCCTCCCAAGCTACCCAATTTACTCCAATTCTCTCCCCCTTCCATCCTTGACATTTTATGCGCCCCCCCCCCCCCCCCCCCCCCCCCCTTTCCGAGCCCCCCTTTTTTTTTTTTTTTTTTTTTTATAGTGGGGGGTGTGTGGAGGATTGTTTTAACTCTTTTTTTTTTGGTGGTTATTGTGGTGTGTTGTCGTGGAGGGGTTGTTGTACGGGGGGTAGGGCGAAGTTGGTGGGGGGTGGGGATGGGGGTTAATTTTCCCCCCCCCAAACACCACTAACACCACCTCCCCCTCCCACTTTCAACCCCGGGTTAAAACCCCCCCCCCCCAACTCCCCCATTTCTCCCCACTCCCCCCCCCCTCCCTCCTTTCCATTTTTTGCGCCCCCCCCCCCCCCCACCACGAGCTTTTGCGATACACGTATTTTTAGTTTTAGTTTATTATAATGGTAGGGGTTGCATGAAGTTTGATAATCCGTCTTTTTTCAGGATCGATATTGGTAGCTATTCGCAGTGAAGGCTTTGAAGACCGGAGATACGGCAAGATGTTGGCAGGTCGTGCACGGGCCTATATCAAAGTTAACGGACGAGACTATTCTCGTAAACGTCGAGGTTTCGACATTGTTGTTGTCAATCGTATAACAGGTAACGCCCTTGTTTGTTAGCAAAACGTTTCTCGAGAAAAAAAAAAGATTGAGATTGTTGTTTTAGTCGTAATGTTACCTGCGCAACACAAGGACCAAATTTGGACAAGATTCGCGCTGATGGATCGCAGATTACCGGTGGTGTACTTATCTTTTGGCTATCACCACCTCATAATGAACTAGTTCATTTTTGCTGGCGAGCGTTTGCGAGACACCATACTGTTCGTTATATGGAGGGAAATCAAGTACAAGCGCAAAGCCAGTGATCAAGAGTTTAGGACCCCGAAAAGGTAGAGAAACCTGATTCTCTCTATTTCGGATTGTGCTTGGGACTAATCCTTGTATCACCTAAAATCTCTAGACATCGCGATGCGTCGTTTGTTGTAACAGAAGGATCTTCTGGGCTCTTTCTCTATTTATAAACGAAGCAGTTCTGTGCCACCTTGATTAGAGAAAATCCTTGTAAGGAGACGTTGCGTTGACATGGTTCGTACAATCTTGGAAAGGTCTTGAATTTTAATAGTCGTCTTGAAAAATCCTTGAATTCGGTTAAGGTCCTTGAAAAGTTCTTGATTTCTTCATAAAGTCCTTGAAATTCACTATGTGAAATAAGATTACTTTACAGAGGAAAATTTAGCTTATCCTCGGTAAATATTTTTAAACTTGAATTGACTGCTTTCTTTTAAAATGTTTTTGTCCCGTTATAAATAGGTCAGGTTGAACAAAGTCGATACTTTGATACCCACGGTTCCACCTACCACGCGCGACGTTTCTACAATTTCATCAGAAGAATCAGACGCGGGTAGGTACTGTGCGATGTCTTAAACATTACAAGCTTTCAAAACTCTTTAAATTGGCTACGTCACACTATTTGCTCTCTTTTAACAAGCTAAAACGTTTTATTCGCGCGTCAGTACGATTCCAAAAATAATGGTCCAATTTTGTTATTTAAGACTATATTTTGGCATTGAAACTGTTTCCTGTTGTCTGTTACAACGTATGGCAGGAATGAAAATGGATTGAAACTTGAAAACGTTGGGCCGACGTTTCAAGTTTTAGTGTTATGCGTGCAAAAATCGCGAAAAAACTTATAATGGCTAGTGCTCCCTGGTAAAATTTGCCTGATATCTTCTTCATAACTCCAGAGAAGCATTCTGTGTATGGGTGAAGGCACTAAATACTGACTTCAGCACAGAATTAACGTGAAATAGCTATATTCTCGTGACATTGCTCCTTCAAATCGAGAGTGTGATCAGCATCAAACTTCTTCTTTTAACATAAATGCTTTGACAATGAGAACTGTTATGAGAGTTGCGGACACCATCAACCATGATAATTTATTGTCATATTTAAACAGCTTTTCCTCTCTGATTGTTTGAGAATAAAGAAAAACCTGAATTTTGAAGTAAGGGATTTTCTTGCTTGGTGGTGACTCTGTGCATGTGCCTTGACTTGTGATTGGATTCCTTCATAGTCCTTGGTAGTCATGGGAGTGTCAGAAAAGGAAATGTTGTAGGACTTTTAAACTTATTGAATATGTAAAACTACGATGCGATAGAATCACAATTATAACTGAAAACAACGAATAGATTCACATAGACAGTCTACCAAGCCTATTATCTTTCTGCAAATAAGTGGACTTGTGTCCCTCCAGTTTAACTAGACTCGTGTGTCAGTGCGGAACACAATGGATGATGGACGGGAAGAACACCTTCTTCCCTTGCCCCCCTCGTTTCGCTGGCTATTGTTGCGTTTCCTCCTAATTGCGTTTAGAAGATAGAGAGGTAGAGACCAAGGAAGATCAAATCAGTTTTGCGAGAGTTGTAAGTTAAAATCCTTCCCTTGCAACGCATACGAATCCTAGTAAATACGTGACACTATCAAGATGGGTCAATCATTTAGAAATCTACTAATTGCTTTATAATGTTTGCTTCTTTGCACAACAGACGAATCGTTCTGGTTGCTGTACAAGACGAGGCCGTTTACAGAGCTAGACGTTACCTCTCTGTTCTTCGACGAATTGGGATCAGTACTCGGTACTTAAGATTTGGCTACAGGGGAAGTTTCGCTTGTGTAGGCTACGTTGGGCGCCGACCCTCTTGGTTCAGGCAGATAAGCCATAGACGTAGACGAGGTCCCAGTGTCATCCGCATCCGTATCCCTCGATATGGAGGTAGGTATACCTCTCTCTTCTACCGTCTCTCGAATGGTCCTACTATCATTTTTTTTTTCTAACAAACTTCTTGTCATTATAATTGTACAACTTTGTAGGTCGACGGGTACGCCGAAGAAGACGCAGAAGAAGTAAGTTTCTTGTTATTACTATTTATTTGTCGCTCTTTAACCTAAGGTTCTAATAATTTTAATAAAAAAATCTTGCGCAATCGCTCTAGAAAATGTATTTCGCGCGAACAGGGTATCCACAAAAAACGCCAAGGAACAGATGGTCGCATTCTAGTTAGTTGATTACAGCCTCCACCTGAGGTGAATATATAGAAAGTTCTGCGAGAATTGCTATATTAAATGTCTTTGGTAAGCGAACACGCTGGCAAGGGACTGTGATCAATTTTCTTATTCATTTGCTATTTTCAGGTGGTCGAGGAGGACGTGTTCGTCGACCGAAACGAGGTTAATATTTCTATTTTTAACCCACGCAACGAGCTTTGAAATCTTATTTTCCATTGAACAGTCCAGCCAAGGGCAGGTTCAAGATTAAGGCTATTTAAAACTCAAAACTAATTATGAACAAAAATGAGCAGAGGAGATCAATACCACCTGGCAGCTTGAATGTTATCCACAGAATCAAATGATGAAGCAAACGTACGAATGGTTTACGTTAATCGCAGTAAGAATGACAGTAAAACCACGTTTTGAGAAATAATTTTATACAGCGACACAAAAAGTACTTCTCCTGCCTCCTCCTCAGGCGCGAAACGAGGGTGAACTGGTGACGAAACGCAATGGACCACGGGAAGGAGCAAGAAGCGAAGTGAAGCCCGTTTTCTCCTTCCCGCCTTCCTTTGCTCGAAAATTTTCATCGAGAGAGAGACGTCTGGGTACGAGGCAAGCACTCCTCCATATCTTTGAACACAAACATTTGTCAGTAAACAGATAATAAACACTTGTTCCTAGACGAGGGTAGGAAAAATATCGTGATTTGTGTGTTGCTAGTGCAGATCTGGTTTTTTCGTTGTAATACAATAAAATTCCATAAATGTTTCTAATGTTCATGGTTTTCTGAGTTTCACAGTAAGTGGACAAGGCCCTCAAGGGTTATGTGTTTTACATTCTGAGTTGATTAGCGTGCCTCTGTTTCTATGTTGTTAGAAAGGTCTATAACGGAGAACGAGCCTCATTTGGTAACTGTTTTGTTTTCTTTTCAGTTTGCCGATCCAAAGTTGACTTGGCCTTCGTTATCGATGGCTCGGGAAGCATTGAGTATTACGGCAAAGGAAACTTCAGACGATGTCTACGATTTGTGGAAATGGTTGTCAGGCAATTCAACAGCGGCCAGACCAGAGTTGGACTTATCGTGTACTCGTCAAGTCCTCGGCTTTACTCCGACTTCCGATATCGTTCAAAGAGGTCTATTTTGTCCATAATTAGACGAATAAGGTACCCCAGGGGAGGTACCAGGACCGGCTACGCCCTGAATTATTGCTACAGTCGGCTGTTTAGAAAAGCCCGAAGAGGAGTTCGTAAGGTATAATTTTGATGTATATTGTAGTACTTCTTAAATAATTTTGTTGAAACTTTAGCGCCGCCTGGTTAGCGCAATTGGTTATGCGCAAGTCTGCCACGGAGAACCACCTCTCAAGGTCGTAATATAATTGATAAGAACGGGCTGCTTATTCTTGTGGGACGTGAAAGATCCCATACTGTCGAAGGTTTTTTTTCAAGCTGCCACACACGTAAACTGTTTTATCAATAAAATGATGTTACTCTGGTTGTAGACATCAATGAATTAGATAGGTAATCTATGCCCATTCCCGACATGCACTAGAAAATTGTACTAGGCGTGATGCCCATTTTTGGTCCCAAGACAAAATATTTTTTAAAAATAATAATGCAGCTATTTAAGTTAAAAAACCGTCGACGACAATTGTGCTCACTCGAATGCTTATTCTCTAACTGGGAGGACGATTAGGCTAATAAAAAAATTTTTTTCCCTCATTTCCCCCCGGACACTTCTTCCTGCCCACCACTTCTTGTCCCAGGCCCTTGACAAAGGAAAGCTGAAATTACCTCTTGTGGTAACTTTTGCTTAAAGTGCATCTTTTCCTTTAAGCATTCTCTATGTTTGGAAAACGTTTTTGGAACATGCCAGTTATTTTGAAAGTCCGATACACCCTTCTACTCTTAAAAATCAAAACGGGACGAAATTTCCAACTAAAATAGAGGCAACGTGGTGAAAACAAAAGCATCGTGTGAAAGTACCACTGAAGAAGTTTCACCTGAATGGCAATGGTCACCACAGGGTTTCGTCCACAGATTCGAAAGTTAGAACAACAAGGTAGATAAATAGTACTTTGTGAAAGTACTGCTCAAGAGGTTTCATTTGAATGGTAACACCATAGGATTTCATCCACAGACTCAAAAGTTAGAACAACATACTAAATAAATAGTATGTAAAACTACTGCTGAAGATTTTTTTTTGAATGGTTACATCGCGCTTTGGTCAATTAGTGGAGTTAGCGCTATATAAATTATGTTATTATTATTATTATGTTACATCGCGTGATTTGGTCCACTGACACAACAGTTAGAACCACCCGACAAGATTCCATCATTCACTCTATGAGTGACAGGTTAACTAAGAATCTGATCATCATGTTTTAGGTTGTTATAACGATGACCGATGGCAAGTCACAGGACAGTGTGATTAGGCCCGCTCAAAGACTCCGTAGAGCGGGGGTCAGATGTTACGCCGTGGGAATCGGAAAGCACTTCAATACCAATCAGTTGCGACAAATCGCTGGAAACAATCGCCGTGTTGTGACCGCACCGTTTAAAAATTTGGGATCCATCGTGAACACAATTGGACGACGAGCTTGTAGAGGTGCAAATGAATTGTTTTATTTAGTAACTCATTGATCCAGTTACTAGCTTTGTCTTTAAATGACCCTAAGTTACGTAGAGGCTAAATTTAAGCTGGCCAAGCCTATCACAGGATCTACACTCACACTTGCGGCGTATTTGATAGATATACTGTTAACGAAACTAGAGAACTGGAGAGAACTGTTAGAATCCTGAAGAGAAGGACCGAGTGCGTAATTGACAAGTAATTAACAATATGCCCGGGATGTCGAGGGGCTTCCACTTTTGGCACAGCCAGCCCCTAGTCAGAGCACATGGAGGTGATGCTAGCGAGGCTGACCACGCGTGAGTTAAACTACTGACCACGCCCGCTCTCCTCGTTGTTAACTAAATAAATTTAACTTTATTATGGCAGTAACTTATGCAACCAGGATAAGCGCCGACGCTGATTATTCTGATTAGCTGTTCTAATGTTTCGGTGCGTTAGAATTCTTTAATTGCGCATGTTAAAGGTTCTGTTGCGTTTTGTCTTTAGGGAGACGACCTAAGCGAGGACGAAAACCAGGTAGATATTTAACTGTTTTTCATTTGATAAACATTAAGATCTAGTCCTTCGTCAATGCTAAGACCGCTTTTTCTTCAACTGCGATCACTGCTACTGCTGCCCCGACAAGTCAATTCACCCTTCATGCCTATTCGCTTACTTGTTTGATAAACTCGCCCACTTGTTTGGAACACGGTCGTGTTTAAATATACCTGACGTTCGGTTAGTATGTTACTAACAGTTGTGGACGAGTTGATGCATAAATGTGCTGATTGGCTACCGGAGAAGCAGTCGGCTGTCCCGCCAGTTACGTACATATGCAACATAATAAAAAGGTGCTAACAAAGTGTTTATCTTCGTCTTAGTATGTCGTTCAATGGTTGATTTGGCTTTCGTTATTGATGGTTCTGGAAGCATTGAGCACTATGGCAGAGGAAACTTCAAGCGATGTCTGCGGTTTGTCCAAAGGGTTGTAAAGCAATTCAAAATCAACAGTGGCCGGACTCGTGTCGGAATCATCTTGTATTCTACAAGGCCTCGACTCATGTTCAGATTTAGCAAATACTATCGCCGTAAAAGGCAACTGCTGTCAGCGATCAACCGCATACCATACCCCAGAGGATTGACTAAGACAGGATGGGCAATGCGGTATTCTTACAGCACGCTGTTCCGATATGCTAGAAGGGGGGCTCGTAAGGTAAAGGCACTAAATAAAAAAGTGGACCTTGGCAAAAAGCTTTCTTAATTTCAGAACGGAGGGGAGGGGAAGGAAGGGGAAATGAAAGGGAGGGGAGGGAGAAGGGAGGCGAATGGGGAGGCAGGGGCAATAAACTAAGATTTTGAAATCAATGAATCGTCGATGTAACGAATACCTCGGTAAAGCAAAATACATTTCTTCGCCATAGTCAGATACAATAAAGTTTTTTTGTAACAAAACCCAAACATAACTTATCCTTTTAAAATAACCATCGCATTTTTCTAGTCCCTTGGCACTTAGTTATATTAGGGCTCTCTCGTAACTGTCTCAGTCTCATTACATCTTGGCTTATGTTATAGGTTGAGATTGTGATGACTGACGGCAAGTCACAGGATAATGTTGTTTCTCCTGGGCGAATGCTGCGACGAAGAGGAATTAGCTGTTACGCTGTGGGAATAGGAAGGCATTACAATACACACCAGCTGAGACAGATCGCCGGGGACCGTCGACGAGTGCTAACTGCGCCATTCAGAAATTTGATCTCCATCGTGAACACCATTGGACGGCGAGCATGCAGAGGTAAAGTGGGCAGTACAAAACGTCTGATGTAGATAATGATATATAAGTTCTTCAAAGTCATGTTTTCGACTTGAGAAGCTGAAGAGAAGGCAAAATAGCTTGAGGCTTGATCTTAAACCTCATCTTGACCTTAAGGTTGGAAACACAAGACGATATGTTGCAGGAGCTCGTCTCAGGGATGTTATGATGCTGCATTGTAGTCTCTTCCTGCGCTATTTTGTTCTTTTGAATTCGTGGAGCACAAAGTTTTGGACAATTTCGTTCGTTTGACCGCACGGAGGGTTCATCGCTCATCTCGGGGACAAAGGGTTGCAAGCTGAAGGTTGCCATAAATCTGTTCTACCGTTTTGCAATATGTCCCGTCCCTTTAGCGAATTGAAGTGAATAGTTCCGCCTATATCTAGGGGACGATCAGAAAATTCGAGTGTTTCTGCTTTGTTTGTGTTGTGATTTTTTGGGTTCTACACCTTTCTGCTAGGCCCGGGTCTGAAGCCGCACTTCACGTTTGCCGAAATCATTTTAATTTGTCTTTCAAAGCTGCTGAGAAAAAAAAAACTGGCTGTGCATTTTGCTCAACACTCATGTGAATTAAGTACCACAGTTTTACCTGAGAGGCGAAGGAAATAATTTAGGTTAACCATAACTGTAATTAGTTCGGCTGATGTAAAAAGCGTTGTTTGACCCGGGCCTTACATGTCCCTTGTGTTGGTTCAAATCCTGAAAAAGATTTATGGAGATATAAAGTTGCTCATGGATAAAGAAAGAACGAAAAACTGATGTTTATTGTACAAGGCAAAAACTGGCTTGTAAGGTGTGGATGCATCCCTGGTGTCGATGCATTAAAGAGTATACCTAAGTAATCAATTCCCCACTCCAGAAACGGTGAGGGGAATGGGAACAAGCTTTTGGCCCAACGATTTCTGGGATCATTTGGGTCAGGAGCCCATAACCTGTTTTGGTGGACAAACATTACTTATGATTGGTTAATGGCTGCCATGTATACCATCAACCAATCATACCTAACGCTTGTCCATCCAAACGATGCCAGAAAATTCTACACCCAGAGCTTGTACCCATCCTCTCTAGAGTTTCTGAAGTAGGGAATAGTCTTTAATGTGCAATTATCCTCATTCTCTGATGACTGACATTTTCTTCCACCCGCAATGTCCTGTAGGTGCGCGACCCAGGCCTCGACCGAGACCAAGACCAAGGCGACCAAGAAAGAAAGGTACGTATTAAAATATTCTTTAATTCCTTTCAATCGTTAGCTCTGAAATTAAACGGAGAATGGGGCATATGGAAGCAAAAAACGATCTATTGATCGTGACGACATCTCTTCTTATCGACTGAAGAATACTGAAAATAAATTCTATCTTCCGCCACTGCGTACCAATTTTTGGAAGAAATGTTTCTCTTAAAGTGAAGCCGAGTTTTGGAAAATCCCATCCATTGATCTACGATCTGCATAACGTATCCAAAGACCTTCAATTGTTCAGTTGCAACAGGTTGTTTCTTTTTAGTATGCATTTATCTTTTTTACCTTGACTGTTTTGTTGACTACCATCATTTTAGAGTCATCTACTTAATCATTTGCTTATTTTTGAAACAGTAGAGAGTTTGCTAGTAAGAAGTTCTTTAACGAAGAACGAACTACATTTGGTAACGGTTTTGTTTTCTATTTAGTTTGCCGATCAAAGGTTGACTTGGCCTTCGTTATCGATGGCTCTGGAAGCATTGAGTATTACGGCAAAGGAAACTTCAGACGATGTCTACGATTTGTGGAAATGGTTGTCAGGCAATTCAACAGCGGCCAGACCAGAGTTGGACTTATCGTGTACTCGTCACGTCCCCGTGTTTACTCCGACTTCCGATATCGTTCAAAGAGTTCTATTTTGTCCATAATTAGACGAATAAGGTACCCCAGGGGAGGTACCAGGACCGGATACGCTCTGAATTATTGCTACAGTCGGCTGTTTAGAAAAGCCCGAAGAGGAGTTCGTAAGGTATAAATTGGATATATTTTAAAACTTGTTTGTAAACATTTTTAGGAATCGTTAACGCCACAAAAGTTCCCCACCTTCCTTTCTCTAGTTTTTGACGTCAACATATCGGAGTAATTGAGGTCTCTGGGTAACTGACCACCTACCACTCCCCTAGGTCACAATTTTGCCCTAAGAGAGAAGTACAAGTTAATATTGGCTTAGGGGAGGGGTAGGTGAGTAACTACACATCGAGTCCACCGATTAAATACTGCATTTCAGATATGTTGCGCTAGAAAATTGTACAAAACATGATGGCGTTTTGGTCCTAAAACATCATCCTAACTGCATCCTAACTGCCTCATCATCATCTGATCATCATGTTTTAGGTTGTCATAACGATGACTGATGGCAAGTCACAGGACAGTGTGAGTGGGCCAGCTCAAAGACTCCGTAGAGCGGGGGTCAGATGTTACGCCGTGGGAATCGGAAAGCACTTCAACACCAATCAGCTGCGACAAATCGCTGGAAACAATCGCCGTGTTGTGACCGCACCGTTTAAAAATTTGGGTTCCATCGTGAACACAATTGGACGACGAGCTTGTAGAGGTGCAAATATATTGTGTTATTTAATCCCTTTCACATTGATTCAGTAATTCCTGGTGAAGCGCGATTTATAAAGTTCTTGGAATTTGCGTCGAGCGTGGATCGCTAAGCGCAGTTTAATCTCCGCTGCCTTTATATATTTGTATCGTATTGGTGTCCGTATATGCCAAGCAACAAAACTGCGCTGAATAATAACCCATGGTTGTACTGTAAAAAACTGTAATTTACCAACAGGAACAATAGTGCCCGTCTTTTTAACACCGTTGTCAGTTTTTGCCGGCCTTTTTGGGCCAGATATTAGAAGGGAAACGTATCGACTAGAGGCAAAAGGCAAAAACTTAGAAACTTAGAGAGTACCATCAGACTCCTAAGAAAGGATCCGGATTCATGAACGACAGTAATCTTACAGTAACGTTTGCAACCACAATAAGGGCCGACTCTGCTAGGTAAGATCGACTGCCCTAATGTCTTTTCGGTACAGGAGAGTTATCTAATTTCCTATGTTAAAAGCTCTTTTTTTGTTTCATCTTCAGGAGCACGACCTAGACGAGGAAAGAAGCCAGGTATATCTTTTTACTTTTTCATATGTTATGCATTATTTAAGCTTTCTCGATACTGATGCTGCTATTTCTGATATTACAATCACTACTGACTACTGGCCGCACAAGCCAATTTGTTTTTCAGGTCAATTTGCTTGCCAAATGCGTCTTTGGCTAATTTTTCTACTTGTTGGGTTCTTTGGAGGGGTCGTGGTGGAATATTCCTGACTTTGATCAATACAACACTAGCTAAAGAAGTGAGAGAGTTAACCAAAGTGACATTAGACAAATTGACATACACGGGAAGGTATTGCTACCGAACAAGCGGTCGGTTGCTTTGCCAGTTACGTCGGTAATCAAAGTGAAAAAATGTCGCTAACAAAAGGTTTATGTTGGTCCTAGTGTGCCGATCAATGGTTGATTTGGCTTTTGTTATTGATGGCTCTGGAAGTATTGAGCACTATGGCAAAGGAAACTTCAAGCGATGTCTGAGATTCGTCCAAAGGGTTGTAAGGCAATTCAAAATCAACAGTGGCCGGACTCGTGTCGGAGTCGTCCTGTATTCTACAAGGCCTCGACTCATGTTCAGGTTTAGCAAATATAATCGCCGTAAAAGGCAACTGCTATCAGCGATCAACCGCATACCATATCCCAGAGGATGGACTAAAACAGGATGGGCAATGCGGTATTCTTACAGCACGCTGTTCCGATATGCTCGAAGGGGGGCTCGTAAGGTAAATACCTTGTATAATCGATAAATAAGTGCCCTCAAGGCTTTTAGATACTATTTTGAATATGGCTGGTTTCGCGATGGGTAAGATAAAGCGAATCCTGTGTTCTGTTTGGCTATTCGAAAGGGCGAGATTTTTCTATCTTACGGTTACGTGCTCCGGAATTACCGCTTTTGGTTTCGCAAGAAAAACAGCTTTAGCTTTGGCCATACGAGAAAGTCTTTATTGACGAAGCTTTTTGAAGCAAGATGGATGTTGGCCTCGCTCTTTTTGGCGTTTTTTATTTGGACTCAAATTCGTCTTTGTTCATAGAAATGTAGAAAACAAAGAAGGTAAATAAATAACTAGGTTAATATGTAGCCATCTTGACCTTACGCTCGGTCTGATAACGCATGTATATGTAACCCCGAGCAGAAGCTTAAACAAGATTACAAATCAGCTCCGGTCGCGGGCAAAATAGCCCAGTTTTTCATTCAATAGGACTGTTACATATACAGATGTAAGACCAAAGATAACAGCATTGTTTAGGCTAGAAGTAAGAAACTGGTCTGGACAGTCTGATTTCGCCAAATAAACTCAAATTGATGTTCGGATGGGTAAGGGACCAACAGTAGCATTGTGTGGGTACCGCCCATTTTGCTTTCGTCCAATATCCAGTTCTCCCAAGACACCTTTAGCCGTGCAGATTGGTGTCGGAGTTTGACGGGTTTTTCATCTAATGGAAATTAAAACGTTTCAGCTGAGGGAGACTGCTCTGTTCGAACGAGTCCATTTTGCCGTTTTTAGAGGGGTAACCTCCATATGAAAAGACGTGAAGTGACGTTCGTATACGGCTTCATATCTTCAATCTTAAATTTGCGACGAACCTGGTACACCTGGGTTGTTTGACTGTATATGATGCCGTCTCAGAAAATATGAGAACGGGCTGTGGACTTCAGAAAGAAGTAGAACCACTTTGTTCCAGTGCTGTTTTTTCAACCAACTGGCATGGTGTCTCAGAAATCCCAGAAAAAAATCGCCAGTTTAGCTGAGTTAGGAGGATGAAAGTGAGATTAAATTTTTTTGTGTCTGCTAACTGGAAATCCCGCGTCATGTTTAGGTTGAGATTGTGATGACTGACGGCAAGTCACAGGATAATGTTGTTTCTCCTGGGCGAATGCTGCGACGAAGAGGAATTAGTTGTTACGCTGTGGGAATAGGCAAGCATTACAATACACACCAGCTGAGACAGATCGCCGGGAACAGTCGACGCGTGCTAACTGCGCCATTCAGAAATTTGATCTCTATCGTGAACACCATTGGACGCCGAGCATGTAGAGGTAAAGTGGGCAATACAAGACAACTAGAATAACAAAATAACTAAGTAACTAACGAAATAATTAACTAACCGACTAACTAACTGAAAGAAAAGCCAGTAAATTAATAACTGTGATACTAGCGTTAATTGGCAAGGCGCATTGTAACTTTCTCCATCCCTGAAGGAGGTGGGAAAGTAACAGGCCATATAGCTCGTTACAGCATAATATCTAGTAACGAAATTGAAGAAAGTATTAAAATTAAAAGGGAAATGAAAAAGAAAAAATTGACCAAAAATTTCGGATGAATTGTACATGGAGTACTTCTTGTGTCTTTATAATTCTGGTTATCCATTTCTCGTGATTAATATCATATTATACGGCATTATTCTGTAGGCGTGAGACCCGGTTATAGGCCAAGACCACGACGAAGGCGAGGTATGTTTTAGGTCATTCTTTTGTTTATTCAAAGCTTCAAGTCTGAGGGAAACGGAGAATAAGGGGCTAAGAACGTGAAAAGCGATTTCATACCGCCGGCAAAGGGTGCTTTTCTCGCTACAATATGTGTAGGCTCAATTTCTGCCGCCTCCGTAGCCCGGTCTGTGATTCTCTCCTTTTTCGGGAGGTTTAGTCATGAGTGCGGCCAAACAGCGGCTGGTAATTGAACCTTACGGGATTAGCTACCTCTACTTTGGATCCGAACTCAACAGAAAGTACCGGCACGAGAATAAACTTTTCGCACCAGTTAGAACAAGACCTCTCTATCCACCCTGTAATCTATCTCTTTAGTGTCTAACGACATGCCAGCAGTCTAATGATCGCCTTGTGCGTGAGACTGGAGCAGCGAGGAACTCTCTTGAAAAGAGTGGATTTTTGCTGCTTTTAAATAATTTCCACTTCACTTTTCTCTACTTTTCTGCACTTTTCTCTACTCCATATCAGAAGGTGCAAGCGCATGAACCAACAACAAATTCAACCTTATTAATGTAGTTGGCTCGAAGATATTAGCACTTGAGTGCTACACTGTAAATTCGAGGGTAAATAAAGTTTATTGATTGATTGATGGATTTGAACCCAAATTTGCGTCACGCGCCTTCTGGAATCTTGCCACATTAGTGGTGGTGGTGGTGATGGTGTGTGTGTATCGGGGAGGTCGGTGGACAGAAGGTCCAAACCTCCCTACTTTCAGCTCTTTGAATTCCCGGCTCTTGCCCCCCTTATCTTAGCTTCCTCCCTTTAGTCCGTTTTCGATTTCAAAGGATTAAGCATTTTTGTGCAATTTCCCTCTTTTTCTCCCTCTTCTCGCCCTTCTAGAACAAACACCTCCCGCCATTTCCTGTCTTGCCTCCCGCATCATGTGTCCCCAGCTCCTACCCGTTTTTTGTGTCTTCCTCCTTTTAACCCTTCTTTGATTTCCTAGTATTAAGCATTGTTGCATAATTTCTCTCCATTTCTCCCACTTCCTGCAGCCCTTTTAGAACTCCTAACTCCGGGTTATTCCTCTCCCGCCCTCCGTTCCCCACCCGACCACTATAGTCACCTAGGCTCCCACCCCACTTTCCTTCCCACATTTGTGGGACGAGATTGCTCACAGTACTACACCCGACCCCCTTTCTCCCTTGTTTTAGTTGCGTGTGAGAACAACTAAAACGGTTACCTTTGATTTTTATAAATATTTAGTTATTACACTAGTAAAATTTTTTGGTCTACAGCCCTCCTATTTTCACATTTTAAGAGTGAAACGATTAATCAATTGATCTTTGCAGGTGTTTTTTAAAATACTTTCGAGACATTTTCAATAAAGGTTTGAATATATTTCAGGTTCTCGAAGACGAAGAGTGATCAGAAGACGACGAAGAATACGGCGAATTCGACGAAGGACAAAAAGAAGAACGCGACGAAGGCGAAGGATCCGAAGACAAAGAAGACGAAGAAGGCGAAGAAGACGTCGACGAAGGCGACGTACGTTAATAACAACAACATTTTAATATATAGCCAGACCGCTTTTAAGCGACTTTTTGAAGCTGGGAAGAAACGTGAGCTTGTGGCTACTCACTGGAATTGTTTCTCGGTAGTTCTAAGTTCACAACTAAACTTACTCTAATTACAAAGGGTGATACTTGATAAACCTTTGTCACACCAACATAATCGCGAATTACATTCCAAACAGAAAAAGTGGTCTTTTGATTAAATTCTCTACCCTTTTCTCACACAGGAAGGACAATCGTTAGCTTCCGAAGGAAACGTTATCGCATCAACAGGACCCTAAGATTTACGATCAGATGGAGAAGAAAAATTAGACGTCTCCGCTTCACAAAGGCCTACATCAAGGGTAGATACAGGTTGATGAGAAGGGTGGGCAACATGTGGAAGGTGAAGATATATCGACAGTGGTGTAGAGTACTGCCAGGAAAACACTGGTACTACTACTACAGAAGACGCATGTTTAGAATTGGCTACCTTCGCCTTATTGCACGCATTGCGCGAAGGACTTACCGTCTACGGCTGCGTCGCCGAAAATTGTACGCGCGAATTGGACGCCGCCTTAGACTTGTCAAGCCACGTTTCGTGCGTTACATAAGAGTTGGAAGAAGGCGTGTCCCAGTAAAGAGGAGAGGTAGAAGATATATCATACGGAGAGGAAAGAGATGGCGTGGCCTGAGGATAATAAAGCGCTTCCGTATGTAGACTTCTGTTTTGTTTATTATCTCTTCCAGGGTCAATTTAGGTTTCTGGAAAACTGTCCACCTACCCCTCCCCTAAGGCATCTTTTTGCCCTAAGTTAAAAGTAAGTGTTAATGTTAGCTTAGGGGAGGGGTAGTTTTTTTGTATTTTGGCGGTGCAAGGGGCGTGGTGCGGTGCCCCAAGGCCATGAAAACAAAGGCAACAAAACGATCCGACAAAAAGAAAAACAAAAAAACTAGGGTAATCTACACGGTAAAAAGACCACCAAAATGGGAGGGGGCACCTCCATACGGAGCCAGTCAGCCAGCCAACTTCGCCGGGGAATCGAACCCCGCCTAGGGAAGGGGTAGGTGGGCTCGTTGAGAAGGGTACAATATTCATTGTCATGAATTTGGAATTTGAGTTCCTTATGGAAGAAAGAGGTTAATAGAGAAGCTTCACCACGCATGAGTGGCACACAACCGCTCGGGAAGGACCCCCATAAGAAATAGACGTGGTTGGTAGTCGAAGAATTAGCGTTAAACCCCTTAAGCCTTTATTTGGCCGGCCCTAAAAGAGACCATGACGGTGTGACGGTATTTGATCGTTTTGTATTTAACAAATCGACAACAGTTTTCCATGGTCTCTACCCTTATCAAGCATAGGAAATGACGTCAAAATGTTCAAGACTCAAGTGGAGCCATGAGCCGTAAGCGAGTGGTTTCAATGCAAAATTTACTCACGATCGTAAAGCAATAAAACCCATAGTGAGACCACAACGAGACTTTGCAAACTTTGGTTTGAACTAACTGCAGCAGTTTTTACAAACTTTGTCGTCCTCGCTACTCTGGCGGCGCAATAAAGGGAATGTTTGAAAGTTTGATTTGATTATGCTCTTTTCCATAAATCACGCACCGTCTATGATAGGGCAGATATTTTACCTCTTTTCTAGAAAATTAGAGGATACTAAAAGTAGTTTTGCTTGTGAGAAGGCCCCAACGAAAGGCTCATTTTCAGACCCAGTCAAGTACACAGAGCAGCCATAGTTCAAAATGTTAAAATTAAAATTTGAACAACTTTAACTACTCAGTTCCCAGGACCGTTCGCTCAAGGTCCTGGGGACAAGGCTGATTTTGAACATTTACCAGGAAAAAGAAACAAGAAAATATTATTCCATATATTGCAGGTCGCTACAGTCGCCGACTGGTGCTACGAAGAAGAAAAAGGAGATTGCGAAGGATAAGGCGTCGTACTCGCCGTTTAATAAGACGATTCAGAAGAAAAAGACGAAATAGACGAAGGCGGAGAATCCGAAGACGAAGGAGACGAAGAAGACGAAGAAGACGAGGACGAGGAAGACGAAGAAGGCGAAGACGAAGAGGGCGAGGAAGGCGTACGTCAATAACAATAATTTATCATAAATTGATGACTTAAATTTTAGGCTCCTATTTAAGTGTTCTGCAATAACCACGTTCGTTATATTAAAATTCTAACATGACTCCGAGGCTTTAGGGTCAAAATTGCAAATTTTTCACAACTCCATTGTCTTGCAATTCCCAGAAGAGACTTGAGCACAAAGAAAACAATCCAAATGTAGGAAAATCACCAGAAAGCCTCAGAGTCATGTTAGAATTTTAATATATCGAACTTGGGCTACTGGTATGGGATTTAATTACGCCGAAACCAGTTGTGGAATTTCACATATTAAATAATGCATCCTATTTAATTGATGAATGTCGTAACTGTCCAGTGAACAGTTTTGGCATTTAGATATTTTCAGCAACATCATTTCCAGCAAAATTTGCAGTCTGTCCCCTTTCGAATTGATATGAAGACTACTTAATTGAAATCATTTTAAAAACGACAGCAACTTGACCGAGTGGTATGCGCGCGCACCATCAACACTAACTGGATTAGTAGCAAACTTACGCAACAGTACGGGAGAGGAAAGAAGACAGCAAACCTTGTGTGACAAGCGTGACAATACTTTTGTTTGAAATAACTTTACGCCATACTTCACTTTCCTTTAAACAGATGTTTTTGCAAAGACCAGAAAACGTTAATGTTAAGTGAGGATCACAAGTAATAGCCCTGTCACGTCTGTCACACACAAGCGTTTTGCCGTTCTCTTATTCTGCCGTCCTGTTGCGTAAACTCACTATTGTCTCGAAAGTCCCGTGTTTTACTAAATGTTAGACACAAAAATATTAATTCTCGTTTGTCTCGTTTTTCTTCCGGTGATCCCTTTTCCACAAGCAAAAACATGAAGCGAACGATAGAACTTCTGGTTGCTATTCTTTCCGTCCCAGACATAAGTGTTGTCGCTGCTAAACCTCGCTATCTGGACACCATCGCACTACTACACCTCAATCGACCTCACCGCCTTCCTTTGGACATATATACGCACTACGAGCGGCCTTAGGAGAACAAAACAGTAAAACTAGCAGCGAATTAGACATCATTTGCCTCACTTAATCCAAAAATGCTTTTAGGCCGTGAATACTCTGATTCCATCACTAGTCCGGTTCTAAGGAGTCATAGGGTGTCGTTTTTGGAAAAATCCAATTGTTACGTCGAAAGAAACGATAAATCCAAAAGTGCATCTTTCGTTTTTCATGTTCTTGCCTCGCGCTCCCTTTTTCACACTTTCCCTGTTCGTTTTTCCTTTTAAGGTCGACGAGTAATACGTTACCGTGGCAGAAGCTGCGTTATAAGAAGAAGGAGACGGTACATCATACGAATTAGGAGGAAGAAGGTGGTTGTTCGTCGGTTCAAGCGTCGTATA